ACCAGTGTAGCGTTCACCCTGAACCACAGAATTCTACACTGTGATAAACAGAATTGTAGAATTCTGTGCCGTGAACAAACGTTCCATTAATACTGTTAGCCTAAAAGCGTGCATTTTTGTCTGTGGGCAGTGGAGAGAGAGAAAGAGAGAGAGGAGAAGCGCGAGAACTTCCGGCCAAAACAAAATGGCGACCCGCGTAGTTCAGCTCGATTCGAAAAGTTAATTAGCCGTAGCATCTTTGTAGATGGTCAAATTAGCTTACTTTTGTGCTATAACGTAATTTTTTCTTGGCTTTTATCAATTTGATCATCCACACCGATAGACAGTATTCTGAAATGAGGAAAAACAGGTCTTGTTTCACACCGGGTGAGAATAGCCAAGGCTGTCAAGTCTCACCCGGGGTGAGACGTACATCGTATGACGTATTTCTATTCTCACCCCGGGTGAGGATAGCCACTTTCTATTCAAATATAATATGCAAAATATAGGCCGTAACCTGGTTCACCATGCTTAGGTAGCTGAGATGGCACAAAGCTACTCTAAGTCAAATCTAAGTGATGTGTAGGGTAAGAGGCTAAAAGACTAGGCTAATAGGTGATCTTATACTTTAGCACATTAAATTCTTCAATTGAAGACTTCCGAAACGAGCGACCACTATTAGATCTGTATCTAAATTCTATATATCATCAAGATTATACTCAATGGCTTCCAAAATCATGATGGAAGACCAAAAACCACTGTTACACGATCTGTTCATGACAAAATTACGGTAGTTTGCGCATTTTTAGGCCCAGTTCAAAGTTTTGAAGGTCTGAGTCGGGGATTAGAATCTAGAATCTAGATCTAGATGGGAATTTAACGTGCTAAAGTATAAGATCACCGGCTAATAGGCCTAGCCTAGACTAAGGCGTCTAAAGTCTAAGGAGGCTTTTGTAACTTATTGTAAGTGTAAGTGTAGATCTAAGCCTTGTTTGTAGGAGGCACTGTAAGTCAAAACTCTGCTGCATGATGGTTTCCATATCATTCAGAAGTCTAGATTCGAGATCTAATTAATGAACAAGGTGGCTGGAAAAATTATATCTCCAAAGGCTCTGATAAAAAGCAACAATTAAAACAAAAACAACTGGGTGCTTATTTCACTCTATGGTTAGATCTATGGCAAGAGAGGGGATCAAAGCGGATATGGAGGCGAATGGTCACTTTTTCTAGGACTTTCTATTGGAAACTGAAAGTTCAAACTGAAAACATGAGGTGAGAGGAAATATCTAACTATTACAGCGGAACTCAGAAGAGTATTTAACTATACGTTTGGTCCATAGGAACTTACTGCTCCTCTTCCATATCTGGATCGACCTCAGCATCGTCAGCTTCCATGTTTTGAGGAGGCTCTTCGTTCATTATTTCGCAGTCCGACATCTTGCCTTTTGTTGAGCAACCACACATCTCGTGTAAAGTCTCGAGATTCCCCGACCAGGACGAGACTGGCTCACAGATGGCGACAACTTTCATCAACTCAGGTTGAAGAACACATATTCTTATGACGTCATAAAACAGTATTTTATTTGTCTCTATCTGTGTCATGCGTGCGCGCCCGCCGTGTGTGTGTGTGTGTGTGTGTGTGTGTGTG